TGATAATACTTAAACAGTATTAATCATTGATATGATAAATTCATCAACGTATCAGGCAAGACATACATGACTAGTACAATAATAGTTCAAGGTCAAATGGATTTTTCTAAAATCAATTGACCAATAATATATATCTCTGTCTATTCTACAAGTCAATGCAATTAAATATCATTAACACTAGCTGCGCCCTCTCATCCTGTCCCTTCCCCTGTCCAACATCTGCTGATAAAAGTTACCACTCTCCCAAACAGGGAGCCTTTCATTACTGGCTTTTCATTTCCCCTTCCCTTTTTTTTTTTTTGTTTTACATGAGATTAAAGGAAAGAAAAGAATAAAATGTTTTTTTCCCCATTTTGCAACTGCATGGTTACTTTTCAGGAAATAAGAAGGAACACTAAAATGCCTTAAATCATTTAAAATTTAACATTATTAGTGATAATCATTAATCCCATAATTGCCTCTGCCTTTTTCCATTTTTTTTTTTAAGGTAAGTCTCTAAGGCAAAGGCATTACCATAAGGGAATTATTTAGTTTAACATAAAAAAAATTGGAAGAAAAACGTAAATTGTTTTCATTTTAGTTTAACAGTTAGGTATGTGCTTAGGGATTGAGTATTATTTGTCCCTTCTGAGGGGACAAATTTGGCTTCTGATCATGCCTTAGATTGCTGATTTCAAGTACAGACATAACCTGCAGCATCAGTGGGACTTAAAGACAGAGTGAATCATAACATCTTATCTTAAAATGTCACTATCTTTTAGCTCTTAACAATGCTAAAGCAGTCAGGTATCTCCTCTATTGGATAAAGGTGTTATTTTCAGAGAAAGAGGTATCTGCACTAGTGAAACATTTATTCATAAGATTGTGGGCAAATTTTCAGAAAAAAAATTAACTTAATATGAAAGACATCAGGGCCAATTAGAAACAGCACTTGTTAATATATGAGTCTGAAGACAAGTGTAACTATTAACTTACTGACTCCATCGATGATTTGAAAGACTTTTGAGCTTTCCAAAAATTTCTGAATTACAAACTACTGCACCCGGCTTTTTACTAATTGGAAATAGATCACTGCCTATTTTCTTGGACATCAGTGGTAATTGCTGCCTGTAGAATTTGCTGAGGTTTGCAAAGCTGAACTTCAATTTCTATAACATCTGCCACAAATTCAGTAATCCTGTGTAATAATGCAATGAGAAAACACAACATATGACCATCATATTAGCAGCTGTATTATAGGAAATTATAGCATAAAATTAGGAAACGATGAATGATGTTAATACCTCTATATCTAAAAATGGAGTATATTTCTGTGCATAGTCTAACTAGTGCTCTTCATTATAATACTTGTGGTTTCATGTATTTGCTATATTGTGTCTGGGCCCCTGCACAAAATCTTCCTTCCTCATAAGAGCTCTCCTCTTCATTCAGCTCCTTCATCTGGCTAATTGACTAAACCTTTAAGACTAGGATTAAAAATAATTTCCTCTTGGAAATTCCTAAATTCCTTTACTTTGCCCTTTTGATCACATGTATGCAGTGGCTACAAAAACTTCTAGCACACGAGAGTTCTCAATACAACCTTATTAAATAAATGAAAAGCTAGGTGCCCTTTCCCCCATAGCACCTGGGGCTCACCTATGTCAAGTAACATTTGCTCTATATTCGAATAACTTGTATATCTGTCTTCTTAGGGTAAACTTTTTATGGTAGGGATGAGCTCTTGTTCACCTTTTTGTCCCCACACCTAGTACAGTATGTGGCATGCAATAGGTGCTTAATACATACTTGTGGAATAAATAATGGGTGAAGTTTATGAGTCCCTGGGGTTTAGATATGCCTTAGCCATTCCTACCAAGCTCCCTTTCTCCTACATATTCTTAAGCGGGTGCTGTCTGTGTTAGGATTATTGTTTAATTTCATTTGAAAAGGTGGGAAGAAAGAGCATTCTGGTGAAAGTAGGGTTCTCATGAAAATTTCTTTGGAAGAAATTCATACCGTAGCCCTCAGACATAAAATGTTTGCAAATAAATATATTCTATGTGAAAGTGCAAGTCTATATGCATTTTATCTAAGGATTTTTAAGAGGTGAAACAGAAAATACTGATTTAAGTAAGAGAAGCATGGGATCGGGAAAAACGGTGTTGGATTTCAGGAGAATGTGGGCCTAGTCCTAGCTCTGTCTCTAGTATATTCTGTCTCACTAAGAATATTTTCTTAAATGGAAAATAACTAGGGGAGCAACAACAGCCTTCATCTCTAACAGCCATAATCCCATGCCAAATGGTAAGCCGTAATCATATCAGTTTTCTTTATTTTCTCTCTCTGCGTTTTTGCATTTGGATAATTTTGATTTACTTCTGGGTGATTATCAAAATATTATGTTGTTGAATGACTTGATATTTAAAATGCCAGTTCTTTAAAATTTAGAATAGGATGACGTAAATTGACAACTGTGTGCTTTGAAAGGGATTTTATTTCATTAGCGCCCCCAGCGGGGGAAGGAGGGAAGGTCAGCATCAGCGTTTCAACAGTCCCGCGTCGGAAATAGGGAACCTGCGACCAACATATTGAATGGAGCCTCTTGATGGGAGCCATCTATTCCCACTCTAAGAATTAGAAATCCTGCATCTTGTTCTTTGTTTTGTGCACTTGGCCCTGTGCCAAATTTGTAATCCTCTCTGCAAAGTGTTTGTTTCCTCTGTATGTTCTTCCCAGATTGTTTTTACTTCATGCTCCTCATTCATCAGTGCCACTCAGGTGATTGATTTCTGAATGGCAGTTAGAGCCCAACTCCAGTCTGTGTGGCCTTTGAAACAAATGGTGTTGTGTGGGTTTCTCCTTTTCTGTGGTGCAGATATTGAAAAGTAGCTGGCACTGTGGGAAGAAGCAAGCCTGTCAAGAAGCCAGGTAGTGTACAGAGTGCTTTGGTTATATCTGACCATCAAGAAAACCCTCAGTCATTACCAGGTCTTAGCATAAGACTGTAAGTGTCCAGACAAATTGGGAAAACCCTTGCACTCTAGCTCCAAGGAAACAAATAGCCCTCTTCAGTGAATACCCAGGGGCTGCTCTGCAGGACCTCACCATGAGCCCTCAGATGTTCAGAAGTCAGCCAGGCAGCCCTCCGACACTGGCCCTTCCAGAAAGCAGATCCGTACCAGCCAGCCATTTGCCACCTTGTCTTCTTAACCCTAGCAACTCAGGTGAAGTGGGGGGGCAAGGGAGGCCATTAGTACACAAAGGACTGGTTCTGTCACAAGGGAAGAGCCAAACCAGAAGAGCCCACAGCATTCTTTCTAGACTAATTGTCCAAATAAAGGAAGATAGTATAGCAAGTTCAACTAGAAAAAGCAGTTTATCTGAAAAAAATTTCCAGCCTTCTCCGTATGCTTTGAGTTAAATTCCTCCCATTTTGGAAGTTTTATATGGATTTGATTTTTCCTAAGAGTTTATATTTTAGTTTAAGTAAATATAACTGTCCTATCTCTTCGACTGTCTTATCCATGGAAAAGCCCACAAGTTTGGAAGCATTTGGAACTATTTAAACTATAGCATACGAAATTTTCACCAGTGGAAACCATAATTTGGAAAAAAATACTTTATATCTGTGATTTCTAAGCGTTTAGGGAAACCAGCACTTTATTTCTAGCTTAATTTTTGGTTGGAAATGAGCATGCTTTCTTTCAACCCTCTCAAAGTGCTTTGGAGTATACATCACAATTTTTAAAAAATAAAGTACATTTAATTTTTTTTAATGTTTTAAACTTTTCATTTTAGTGAGATAGAGGAGTGTCAGAGTTGAATCCAGTCCCAGCAGAGCTTTGCCTATACCTAGCCACTTGAAGTTAAGCACTTCCCTAAGCCGCTCTGGATTTAGGGTCTTTATATATCAGATTGGTTTGAGGATGTCTTGCCTTCAAGTTGTAGTGAAAAACCAATCAAATGAGATAATATATGGAGGGTTTTTGAAATGTAAAAAAGGAGTGTCCTTGAAAAATTAGGAACAAATGTAAGCTTTATTCACACTTATTTAGTTATCTTTTAAACACACCTGTTCTCCTAGAATTTATCATTTCATGGTATCTCAGAATTTATTTCCAAATGTCTCTGACCACGTAGTATAAAAATATAACTTATTCAAACTGATGAGTTGTTTGACAATTTTGACCACAATGTTTAGATGAATTTGGGATATATGTTTAATTTCATATTAAATTTCTATGAATTAAATCTCAGTGATTATTAGTGCACAGTGAAAGTCTAGTGAAAAACACAAATAATGGAGAATTTACTAATAACATACAAGCAAGGTGAGAAAGCCTTCATATAAACGTTGGGAAAAGGACAGGCTAATGATCTATGCTCTCCCCATAAAATATTTTTAAGTCCATATGTTAGATCTTCATACAGATTCATAGAATACAGAATGAGTGACTTTTTCCTTAATCTAACTTTAAGAACATATTTATAAACCCAGTAACAGAAAATTTTATGCATCTCCTTTAGCATTCTGTCCTAAGATTTGGTTAGCTATTCTTTTTTTTAATTTTTTTTGAAAGATTGTATTTATTTTTGAGAGAGAGAGTGTCCAAGCAGGGAAAGCAGCAAGCAGAGGGAGAGTGAGAAGTAAGCTCCCCGCTGAGCAGGGAGCCCGATGTGGGGCTCAATCCCAGGACCCTGGGGTCATGACCTGAGCTGAAGCTGACGCTTAACTGTCTGAGCCACCCAGGAGCCCCTTAGTTAACTATTCTAAGTGGTTATTCATTTATGTGACTTAAAATCCACTTAAGAGAAATATTGTTGCCTTGAAAAAATTATTTTTTTCAGAGGAGAAAGTTGCCAAACTGACCATCCCATAAATATCAACTGTGATGGTGGGAGAACAGTAAGGATTTGGTGTTGTTCCCAGGTTTCACTACTCTCCATGATTCATCTTTCATCGTTCTTTCTTTCTCCTTCCTCTGACTTTTTCAACTTCTCTTCCTCTTTGCCTCTAGGGAGAAGCCTCCAGTGGAGGACAGTCACTGAAAAACTACATGGAAGAAGTGAGTTTTAAGGTAGCCTTGTAACATAGTCTGAAATCAGTCTGTCATATAGGATGAATATTCACTTGGGCTTTCACCATCCACTGTAGGGTTTCCAGTCTATATGCATTCACTGGTTATGCCCACAAAAACAAGATAATAAATAATATGTTATCAAAATGTTTTTTGTTCCTCGTTGATAGAGGAATACCTTATAACAACTCAGTCATCCTGAAAATGAAGGTGAAATTGCACAAACCTAGGGCTATTTATTTTCACTCACAAACATTTGTTGATATCCCAATAAATGAGAAACGTGCACAAAATAATAAGACATGATCATTGCTCTTATGGAAAGAACAATCTGTACCAAATTGGCTTTCATTCATGTGATAAATGCTCATCAAGGACATTACTTGTAAAGGCCATTAAGCAAAGGGCTGTCTTGACAAATAAAATATATGGTAGATTTTTGTTGGAAAACCGTTTAGACGTCTGGATTTATTTTGGAGATATTCAAGGGTCCTCTGTGTCACAGGATGTGTCTTTGGACTGTCTGCAAATGGTATTTGGGAACTTGCAGATAAATCTGTGGATAGAATCCATAAGACTTGGTCTGAAGCCAAACCACAGTGGTCACTAAATTAGCTATCTGAATCTGTTTAGGTGAAGGGAGCTGGGAAGTAGTTTGGTGATGATGTCATGGAAATACCAGATATTTGGTTTGAATATTGCTCCTCAGAAAGATAGAATCTTGTTCTCTAAATATTTTATTCTTGTATGCATGCATCCATTCAAAACCCAGTTTGAGTGGCCTACTGAATGTGCCACTGAAAATTTATTCAGAACGGTGTACCCATACTTAAACTCACACTTGTTGCCAAATACCACCTAGAAAGGAAAATCAGAGTGCCTAGTACCCCTTTAAGTCTCTAACATCTTCAGTTTGCATGTTTGGAGGTGGTTGAAGTTTTGCCAAAGGCACATGGAGAAGAGAACGAAAGGAAATAACCAGGTTGATTGTCTGGGTTCAGGTTAGAAAAATCAAAATATATGGTGTAAAAAAATTGGAGGGTTAGAGCACCAACTTTAAAATTCAGTTTAATGAATTTTGATGCAGAGATTGAGTAGAATACATTAAAACAGTTAATGTTGCCAAAGGGAGGCAGACACTATTTTCAATGTGTACGCCAGCAGAATTTCTCTTTAGGATTCTGTGGTTGCTGACGTGCTTGGCTCAGCATTCCTCTGCAGGAAGCCGGATGCAGGGCTCGAACTCAGGACCCTGGGATCATGACCTGAGCAGAAGGCAGACCCTTAACCGACTAAGCCACCCAGGCACCCCAGAACTTTTAAAATAAATCTTATTTTAAATTTGTAGCTCTTATCCAGGAAAAAGATCCTTATTTTCTCCATTATTATGAATGTGCAATCTAAACATACCTGTTTTACACAATTGTGAATGCTTAATGTGAGAACAGGGGTGAGAATTTGTGCCTTTGCATTCGAGGTTCTGGCAGGGCATTCTCCTCAATGTGGTCCTCTGATAAGCAACAGGGACAATACCTAGGGGCTTGGAAGAAATGCAAAATCACACCAGATCCAGAGAATCAAAATCTGTATTCTAACAAGATGCCTGTGTAATTCAAAGTACCCTGAAGTTCCAGAAACACTGCCCTAAAGTGTTTTTTCAATGTTATTTCTAGAGAGTAACTACATATATCATGAAAAACCTCCAATTTTTATAATACAGGTAAAGAGGAAAATTCTGTTAATAAATTTCTGAGTTTTATTTATTCATTTACTCTCAAGAACAAAATTTTTGGTTGACTAGGGGTATAAAATCTCTCTAGCTTGTGAGATTCATCACCGACTTTCAGTTTAAAATTACAAGTATGTGTAAACTGCCCATAAACATTTTGGGGGGATTTAGTATCACATAGGGTTTTTATCTAATATTGCTTGATATTTAGATTTTAGCTCTTTTTTTAAACCAACAAATGATCACTCTTTACAATAAAACTATAAATATGACAATTAGTGAACTGTTAACTCATTACTAGTTGGATTCTTTTTGTAGACATTAATCCATTTGGTCTTTAGGAAATATATACTCAAATTCTTCTCCATTGAGAACATGTTGAGAGTGTGAGCCATAAAATGATAGTTGCTTTTTTTTCCCACTTGTGCTCTTATTTCACTTTTGCTCTCTTTCTGCATGTTAGTTAAATCAGCAAACAATAAGGAACAATATTTATAAATGTTAGAAGCATTGAAGTTAAAACTGTGCTAGCAAACATTTGCTTTTATTTAGTATACACTAAAACTCAAGTAAACCATAGTGTTTACATTTTTAATATATTTAACATTTCTTGTTAAAGTTTGGGCAACTCTTTGCAGATCAAAGTCTGGATTTTTTTTTAATTCAGTCTTATAATTAGACAGAATTATAACCACATGACATTAGACAATATTGTTTAGACCTAAATCAAAACTAGAGACAAGAGAGTCTCCTCTACAAAAGCTAAAATGGAATTTTCATTCTATATTTTCTGATTTTTAATGTATTATTTTTCTAGAATAGGATTTGTATTTTTTTAAAAGATTTTATTTATTTATTTGAGAGAGAGAGAGTGAGAGAGAGCACGAGTGGGGTGAGGGGCAAAGGGAGAAGCAGACTCCCCGCTAAGCAGGGAGCCCAATGCAGGGCTTGATCCCAGGATCCTGGGATCATGACCTGAGCCGAAGGCAGATGCTTAACCGATTGAGCCACCCAGGCGCCCCGGAATAGAATTTGTATTTTTGACCAAATAAAAGATGAGATATTTTATAATAGTCTACTTTTACTAATCTTCAAAATCATTCTTACAGTTAAATTTTTTTATTTTTTTTATTTTTTTTTAAGATTTTACTTATTTGACAGGGGAGAGCACAAGCAGGGGGAGCAGCAGAGGTAGAGGGAGAAGCAGGCTCCCCGCTGAGCAGGGAGCCTGATGCAGGGCTCGATCCCAGGACCCTGGGATCATGACCTGAGCTGAAGGCAGACGCTTAATGACTGAGCCACCCAGGCGCCCCTAGAGTTAAATTTTTTAAAAGAAAGTATGTGTTCTTCACTTGAAAGACATTTGATAACTCAGGTAGGCATAATAATTTCATATTGCAGCGATTTCTGTTTTGAAATAATACTAACATTTATTCAAAAAATACATATAATTTGAAGGAACTTCTCAAAATCAAGTACCTCCAGAGCTTGATTGTCACACCTTTTGTAGAGAAACTAATCCATTTAACATATCACATTTTCCAGATGAATAATTGGAAACCAGCACACCACACTGGCTAAAAATCCCCTCATCATGAGAATTTTTTAATTTAAATACGTATTTATCAGAAAAGTATCATCAACTTCAATGGTTGAGAAGCTATAAAGAACTAAAGACTCAACTTAATGATTTTTTGAAACTTTCTAAAGAGCAGTTTAGAGCAGTTCCCCAAAACTTGAGGAAGTTAGCTGCTGAAGGCCGGAGGCAACATACATGGGAGTGTGAACTAACTCAAGGTGTCAAGAGGCAGCTTCGCAGTCTCTAAGGGTGTCAGACAGGAAGAAAAGCATGCTAAGTGCGCAGGCCTTTTCCAAATCTGTTGAGGTGGGTTTTGCCAACTGTACCATCTGAACTGGAAAAGGGATCGATTCTATGCAACAAAATATCTTCAAATCACTTCTCATGCCAGTCTTGGCCCGTCTTGTTTCTCCTGTGTTGTATTATTTGTGTGATCATGACTGTCGTGAAGTTCCTCCCAACTCTACTTCTGTGGAAAGTGCGGGACATCATCCTATAATAAATAAGACATGATTAACTTTTTTATCATGCACAGGGATTTGCTTTTCAAAACTTGATGTTACTATTTAATTATATGGTTTTATTCACTTGAGAAACAAGGAAACAGGAACTTTGTCAAGAAAACCCTGTTTTGTCTTTGACATTCCTCAAGAACTAGTACATGATGTTAAAGGATAACAGTGTTTTAAAAAGTTATAATCATGGCTCTTATACAGATATAAAATGAACATATATCAAAGATTTATTGAACTCACTAATTAGTAAGGGAACCAGTAAAGTATTACAACCAGTTCAAGGGAGAATTTAAACCCTCCTTTAAATAAGAAATGCTGAAATGAAGTTATAAAGAGAGGCAAAAATTGGTAAAGCTGACCAATATCCATAGGGTAATAATCAGTTACATTCAAATGGGTACAATATATGGACTGGAATCATTGGTACTACTATCAATGTCTATGAATTACATAGTTACTAAACAGCTTAAAGTCAATGAAAGACCCAGAGCCTCCACAGAATCAGGTAAGGAGAAGGACATACTAGAAAAATGTATTGTTTTTCTATACCCATAATCTTTCATCCATTTCAAAGTCTTACAATTTTATCCCACAATTTCCTTGGAGAGAAAAGTCACCAAATGGAATGAATTAGGACATAAAATGGAGTGTAATCCCCTTGTGCAGTATAGTATAGCAAATTTGTCAGATAAATTTATTTTAGCATCTTGCATTTATTTTGTAATATTTTTCACAATCTACCATTTATTTCTAACTTTGTTATTGCTTTTTCTCTTTTCTTTTCCCAAATCCTGTTAGTTCAAACTTACAGCTTCCTAAACTTATTACTTCCCTCTTCTTATGATTTAATTGCCCTTTTACAATTCCCAAAAGAACTGGGCTGTAGAAGTATAATTTACTAAAAATTTATGGATTTTGGTCTGATAATACAAGGAATTTCATTAACAAATACAAAAAGGTATTTTCAAACTTTACAGCCATACCTCAGATATTGTGGCTTCGGTTCCAGACCACTACAATAAAGTGAATATTGCAATAAAGTGAGCCAATGAATTTTTTGGTTTCACAGTGCATATAAAAATTATGTTTATACTACATTGTAGTCTATTAAATGTGCCATAGCATTATGTCTAATAAATGTATATACTTTAATTTAAAAATACTT